CTGAAATCTCGGAATCTGATTGGCCATTGTAAAATAAGTAAAACAATAAAGGATTTTTCTGGCATGGTATACGCGTCGAATTTTTAATTGATCTAACGAACTATCTACATTCACTAATTCTTTTACTATCAAGTTAAATTTCAGATACTCAAATTCTGTTTAAAAATGCCTTCCCCATCACAGTTCTTTACTGCCATGCATCACAGATTATTGTACGCTGCTTTAACGAGTTATAATTTTTGTCAAACATTAACGAAACTACCACTTACAATTACATCCACTATCCTGTTTACTCATGCGCATGAAAATAGCGACAAGCAAACAAGAAAACGAACTTTTCCGGTTTTATCAGTTATACACAAAGTTTATATTTTTCGTGTATTTTATATTGATATAACCGCTAACGATTGAATGGTTATTTATTATAAATGTTTGTCAAACTTTTTTTTAGATTAAAAAGCTTTCTTTCGGTTCTTTTTCGGATTTTAGGTATCTTTCGTTTTTCCAAAGGTGTTGCAAATCTGTTGATTGGGGGTATTACGTATCAACAAAACGTTGCCATTTTTAAACTATCTATTAAACTTTCGATTTGAATAATCCAATTTCATTATTAATAAATGTTTTTCTTTGTTCACAATTATAATAAAAGTATAACATGACATTAAAAAAGAACCGAGTACAAAAATAATTGTTTTGTATTGTCGTTCATATTTACGTATTCTTTACTTTAAAAGGATTTACTTCAGACTTCCATTTTCCTTCTTTTAAAAAAACTTTGTTTTAAGCCAACATATGCTTAATTTTTATTAATTCTAAAATTTAAACGTAGAATTCAATAATAGGCACAATATCATAATCCGTATGGTTCTATTTCCACGTTTCCTAGGATACTATATGCAAATTAACTTGTTATAGTTCGACCGAGTATCTTTTTCTAAAGATAATTCTTGTTATTTACTACTTGTTCTTATTTACTTCATATTTACTTCTTGTTACTTCTTGTTTATTTTTACAAAGATTAACCAGTCTACCTTGAAACCCCCTGTTTGTTTATAATGCCATGCAATTTATTAGTCATATCCTGTAGCAAAGATCGAAAACGCCGTCATGAACAAAATATAATCGAACCGTACTCAACATTTTCGCTTAATTCATTGTACTCTTATTTACGTGTATATCGTTTTGATGTGATGAATGCCATTTTAGAGGGAAGCAGAATTAAATAAACATAACAAAATACTTACGCTTCAATTGACATAATTCAATTCAATATTTATTTGGCATAAACATATACAATGTTCATCGCCAATACACAACTGTATGGCGGATATAATGTACAATTGAGAAAAGTATGTTATTATAAAGTTACAGTTGTAGATAATACATACATTTAATAATTGATTAGGCAATAAATGACATTAGTCATATATAATTCTTTTAAATTATTTTACAATATCAACACAATGCAGGAAGTAGTTAACAAGCTATAACAATAAATACAAACTCATTTAAAAAAATGATGAAAAATGCAATATGGTCATTACATATTTCTTTTAACATTAGCTAAATATATAAATCTTGAGGTTTTGTTTAAAATGCTACTCTGAGAACTAGATAATAATATTTTAAATTTGTTCAAATTAGGCCAATGACAATAATATTTCGGCAAACATGCGTTTGTTATTTCTCTATAAAAAGGGCAAGCTAGTTAAAAATGATATTCGTTTCCAATACTACTCATATTACATTTTGTACATATTCTAAGACTTCTGTTAATATTTCTATGCCTACCCTCTTCAATAAGTAGATTATGAGTGGAACATCTTAGCCTAGATAATGCAATTCTGTGATTAATATTATAGATACTTGATGAATATTTCTCTGTACTAAAATCTGTCTTTATCAAACAATATGTTTCAAGTTTTGGTGAGTTACGAAGTTAGAATAAAACTGTTGAATATACTGATCATTGATTGATCTAATAACACATTGAATCTGTAAATTTGTTACAAATAAATTATTCCATAGGTAGGAAAAACCTGTTTCATCTAGAATGTTCTTAACACTTTTAGACTATTTATTTATTGGATAACCATTAAAATCATGCTTCATAAATAATTTATACATAAGAGAATCTGTGTTTGACATTATCTTAAACCAATCTTTAATCATTCTTATCTTACGCATAAAAAATAGTGGAAGTCTTCCAAATTCACCCTATAATGTAACATTTGATGTTTGTGTTCGAACTTGTAAAGTTTGTTTTAAAAATTTCATGTGAACCTTTTCAATATCTGGTGCCTTATGAAAACCCCACACTTCACAACCATAAATCAAAATAGAGCAAACCATCGAATCAAAGAGTATAATCTTTTCAGAAATATTAAAAGATACAACATCGAATAATGAATTAAGAGAATACAATTCTTTTTGTGCGTGTTGTGATAATGATTTCTGAGCTTGATAAAAACATCCATTAGAAGATAACGTTACACCTAAATATGTAAAAGTACGTACAATATTGAGCTTACAATTGTTATAAAATACTTCAAAATGTTATGGATAATTTCCCTTTTTAAAAATCATAGCAACTGTTTTATCAATGTTAACTGTTTTACCCCAATTGTTACAATACACAAGTAAATTATTTAACAATCGTTGAAGCCCTTCAGAAAAATAAGACATTAACACATAGCATTCAATGTTTAGATCTTTTACTTGTTCCGAAATGGCCGCTTTGTAAGCCGCAAGGTAGTTAAAATGAATGGTTACCGATTTCTTTCCGCCTGGCATAGTGGTAGGAGTTAGGAGGTACATGGCATGCAAGCAAAAGGTGTCTCATAAGTCAGAAAGGGCTGGCCCTTTCAGTAGGGGTGACACTATAATAAATTATGTTGATAGTATTTCGTTTCAGACCACGAAATACGTATATGTATACTGCTGGCAAATGTGAGACACATGATCAAATATTATATAATTACATTAATAGCAGATAATTAAGTGATTTAGAACAATATGAACAATATGAATTATTTGTCCGCGCATTTACAGGTCTATTTTTCACATGTTTTACATGACCGGGTCTGTCTGGCAATATCAGTTAATAGCAAAATCCCTGGTAACAATCCCACCCGCGGGAACAATCAGATTGTTAAATACCCGTAAACTGCCCCTATCTTAGAGTTAGGCTTTATCCTACCTTCTATTCAACCGGCGAAAAGACAAAACTTATTTCCCCTCGAAAACCTCCGAAGCTAGGGCTTACTTACAAAAAATTCTACACAACAGCGTTAAAGTAATTTATATTGATATAATCCAACGCATGTATATACAAGAAATCCAATTAGATTGGTCTTCAATTAAGTAAATCAAATATCGATAGAAACAATAGAACTTTATAATTTCGATATTCTTAAAAGTATTCATTGAAAAAAAATGTTGATAAAAGTTTAGGTGATTGAGTATGAAAATTATATGATAAACAATAGAGCACTTTATTATCTTCTATATATAAAATATAATATTGGATAATGCATCTCACACTTGCAAACATAATACATATGTAAGTCTTTCGTGGACTGCAATGTCTGATACAAAATACTATCAACATAATCATTCATTCCTTCACATGCCTTTAAATACAGACCTATTCACTTGAATATTGACAAATTGCACGTTTAACATTTCTAATTATTATTTTTATAGGGAAAAGCAGAGTAAAATGCACGATAATTGACATTCTTAATCAGAACGTTGATAAAAGTTTTAACCTGTAAAATTAATCTTTGTGCACTATAGCAAATGCTTCGGATTAGCCATTGACTGGTAATTACTTTTACAATATAATAATGGCTTTACACCGCAATAGCGGACAACACTATAATTATTCTAATTGAGCAGTAGATCTTTTCTTTATTCCTTTTTAACCTTTTATTTGTACTAGTCTTGTTCGTAAACAAAATTGTTTGTGTGTCATTATAAACTATTTAAATAAATTCATACCCAAGTAGTTTAAATTTAAGTTTTCACGTTTATGATAAAGCACTAACATGATTCTTAAATGACATTTTGAAACGGAAGCCTTTTGAACTTAATACTATCAAATGTTCGCATGTTGTAAAGTAATCTAAATTCCTATATGTTTACGTTAACTACCTGGGACAATGTTGATTTTTATTATTTACAACGTTTGTGTCATAACAAGTTCGGTCATTGATAAGACTCTAAAGTAAAAAATGAAGGAAAGGTAGTGATTGCATTCTGCTGTATATAATGTAAAAGTTAAAAAGATGATTTTATACGTATTTAAGACGAACTTATTTGACAAAGACCACATAATGTATTGCTAGCGTGACATCGGCTAAAATTTTCTCGAGGTTTTATTCTCCAACAGCGACGGTAGCGCGTGTTCCTCCCAGTGGTACAAATCTTGCCATGTACGGGTTTAAAGACAACAAGTACAACCTCATCAGATAATATTTGTGGCAATGATGATTAAACTTTGGAAAACGAAATCAAAGTGTAGAAGCCAAAAAAAGCAATGTACAACTATTTTTACATAAAAATGCACATAAAGACGATTTTCTTAAAATGTTACAAATGATCAAAATTTATTTTCTTTCAAGATGTATGCTTAAGTTACATTAAGACGTATAGACAAACTGAAAACTACACAAGATCAACAGTACCCAAACATATCAAGTTTGCATGACATCGATAGTGATAAAAACAATGAACTTGTTTGTATTGCCATTGATTCATTGAACGATATACATTACGGGTATCAGTTTTGTTATTTATCTAAACATTTTTGATTAAGATAGAAGTCATTTGACATTTCGCACATCTTAGTTATTATACCTGCTATCAGTGCCTCATTTCTTTAAGTTTGATCACGTTAGATGTGTTTCAGAATATGTTTATTCGTTAATATGATTTCCTTCTTGAACAATTAGAACTAACAAATGTATTTTGTTTTTGAAACCTCGTTTAAGGCCCCTTTTATTTTCAAGAAAAGAATACATACATGTATATGATAACTATAGCATTTACGTAAATAATAAAAAGCATACATGTATGTAAAGATAAGTAAGAAACATAGAAACTAGAATATTTAAGACATTAAATGAATTAAGGAGTCTCAGTTATATTAAATACACACACAAAAAAAGAGAGTAAATAAATATTTTAGGGATCACTTTATCTTGATATTTCTTATATCATTCTGTAATGCAACAAATCTTTCAATTTTTAATCTGTTTAACAGTTGTCTGTTAAAATTAATAATGTTTGGAATTTGTTTCTTTTATTTTCTGTTACATGTTTATACAAATGTATGTAATATTTAAAGTATATCATGTTTTCTTTAGAGTGCAAAAAAGATATGAAATTATTATACGTTATAACTATTCCTGTTTCTTTTAGCCATTTTCAGATGTCAGTTCCAAAACAGAGACAGCATCGGTTTAATTAAGCAGAGTCATGTACATTCTGACAGAGTTTGAGAATAGCATTTCACAAGAGAACAAAGGATTTGCTAGAAATTGCTTATTGTTATCCTCGAGTGTCCGGTATATTTAGGTTTTCATAATTTTGATTTACCATCATAAGCTCGGTTGAAATATAAAAGAAGTTTTGGACATATTTCCTTTATTTTGCCTTTATAATAGGAATAATTATAACTAGAGTCATAAATTATTTCATTCAAAATTGTTTTCAATTGAATCATTCGATCTACAAATGGTGTGTAGCATTGTTTGCCTCTCATATCAAGATGGATTTTTTCTGATATTTCAGACGGCCACCAGAAAGAGCGTACTGGTAATACTTTAGATTTGTCGAGATTCTCTTTGTCAAATATTGCTGTCAGACGATCAAAACATTGTTTTAGCGTTAATTTACTTGTTTCCTGCCTCGCTGTTCCAAATACAAGTGTTTTCCATGTATAACTTGTAAAACTTTCTTTCCTTTCTGGAGAAATTATACTAGGGACCGTCAGGTTTCCTTGATTGAACAGAAAAATTTCGTCAGAATTGTCGTCTAGATCTCCAAAGCATTTCATTAATCTATAACAAATAAACCAGTTATGGTTTACAGATTTTTCACATTTCCATATTTTCATTACATCTCTTTCATACTCAGATAATGAAACCATGAAATTATGCTCTAAGAATTTATCCTTGTCATCCCTCAAGATGCCATCGCTGAAATAAAGCCGTTCTAGGTGTTGTTCTGCATTTCTAACGGGAACAAGGAAAAAGTGGTCTGGTTTATGAATTAAGTGCTCGTCACATGAACAACCCCGAATAAAAAATGGAAGTTTGTCCGCAATGTTTTCATCATATATTACTATAGTTGGTACAAGGTCAACGGAAATAAGGAGATCTTCATAGCGTTTTGGAGAGGACCATCTCAATAGTTTATACAGACGAAAAGAGGGACCACGCATTCCATAATTTGCAGTTTTGGGATTATTTTTAACGTCCAAATGTAAACGGTTTTCTCCTCGAGGAATAGGTTTGTTCTTACTTACTTTTAACAAAGCTCTTCTAAGCCATCCGAAATTCTTCCTCATAAAACTTATAGTGTTTAGCAATGCTTTTTTATTTTTATCTATGACTATCTGACGAAATCTAGGATCTCTTGGTGAAACTGTGAACTTTGGAAACTCAAAATTCATTGCATTCGAAGTAGGAAATGTCTCTAAAACATCAGGGGAGAAGGTGAAAGATATAAGAAAGTCGAATTCATCGGGATAACATACTTTAGTTCCTTCAGCCATACTACCAGCATCTAAAACTTCTATCTTTGTTACACCTTTGGATTTAAGTTCTTTCATGTTTTGATCAAAGGCTTCACCTACTATTCTTTTTACCATCTCTTTAGTTGCATCAATTATATCCGGAAGCTCATCAGCCCACCTCACCTCTGTACAGATATCTGTGTATAGATGACTTAGAAAATCTTCAACATTTTCCTCTCCCTTGAGTTTATGGTCAGCCATGTTTCCTCTTAAAAAATGAATATAGTTTAAAGATACACATTGCAAAAATAAAATTAAAATATTTGTAGAAGTAGCCAAGAACTTTCATTAATTTTGATGTAGCACAATTTCTTGAGTAATTTTCATCATTGATAAATGTATACAACTTCTGATCAAGTAACATAAAACTCAAAACACTAATTGATGTACTAAATATATAAAAATAAATGGGGCAAAAATATAAATTTTACAAAATAAATATACTGAAAGTTGTAACACCGAACGCTATGTTGAATCTAATAAATAGGCTGAAGGTTATGACCTGAAAGCATTTAATGACATTCCATAAGTTTATACTTTTGTAAATTCAAGTTATGTTTGTCATGTTAAAGATATACCATGCTCATCCTTAAGTAAATATTTTGATCATGGAAATTTATTGAAATCTATAAAATTCTTGTTGAATGTGTCTAATTTGAATTATAGAATAAACTATGTATGGGAAGCCGCGTTCCCTATTACGGGTCAATCAAACTGCCAGTTTGTTAAATGATACTATATATTCATAGTGTGACCAGCTATAGTGTGTAGAGTTTTAAACATAACATATCTACATCGTGTAAAGTCAAAACATGTTTACGTTATATTTACAAGGAAACTGAGTATCAATTATCAATATTTTCTTATATCAAATATGAGCATATAGTATATCTTTAAAGTATAACATAAATGTTTTGTTTATTAACGAACAAATGCAAATAAATCTTAAGAAAACGGAGTAATGAGTTCTGTAAGAAAATATAAAACTCCTAATTTTGACCATATTAAGCTATGACTCATCGCAAATTTATGATAATTCGGAACAAACGTAGCTGCAAACATTACAATATACCCTTTAAAATGAAAGTAACTTATTAAGAATTGAGATTAAAATTCAATCTTAATTTTTGAGCAGTTTAAAACAATTATAAACGTTATAGAATTAAAGAATAAACTTGGAATAAAATGTACCTTATATTGTGTCAGTGTCTACTCCAAACAAACTCCTTAGCTACAAAACTAAAACAGGTTGTTATGCGGGTAAAAATCAGTGCGCAGTATATCATATTGATTATGTGTGCATTAGGGCGTATAAGTCAATGGATACAGTACGTACGAAAGACCGGAAGGGCCATTTCAACTTCATGAATTCCCAATTTAATTTCATGAATTCTCAATTTTAACTTCGTAAATAAACGAATTTACGAATTCACGATCTAAGCTTCATGAATTCCCGATTTTAATTTCACGAATACGATTTCAACTTCATGAATTCACGATTTCATCATCACGAATTAACGATTCCAACTTAATGAATTCACGATTTCAACTTTACGAATTCAACTTTATGAATTAACGATTTCAACGTCACGAAATCACGATTTCAACATCATGAAATCACTCCCAATTTAATTTCATGAATTCTCAATTTTAACTTCGTAAAATAAACGAATTTACGAATTCACGATCTAAGCTTCATGAATTCCCGATTTTAATTACACGAATACGATTTCAACTTCATGAATTCACGATTTCATCATCACGAATTAACGATTCCAACTTAATGAATTCACGATTTCAACTTTACGAATTCAACTTTATGAATTAACGATTTCAACGTCACGAAATCACGATTTCAACATCATGAAATCACTCCCAATTTAATTTCATGAATTCTAAATTTTAACTTCGTAAATAAACGAATTTACGAATTCACGATCTAAGCTTCATGAATTCCCGATTTTAATTTCACGAATACGATTTCAACTTCATGAATTCACGATTTCATCATCACGAATTAACGATTCCAACTTAATGAATTAACGATTTCAACGTCACGAAATCACGATTTCAACATCATGAAATCACTCCAACTTCATGAACTCACAGTTTCAACTTCACAATTTCACGATTTTAACTTCATACATTCAATTTCGTGAAATCACGATTCCAACTTCACGAATTCACGGTTTCATGAAGATGAAATCGTGAAGTGTTAATCGTGAATTTGTGAAGTTTAAATCGTGAATTCATAAAAATGAAATCGTGAATTCGTGAGGTTTAAATCGTAAATACACGACGTTGTGTTATTAATGAAGCTGAAATCATGAATGTATGAAGTTGAAAGCGTTAATTAGTGAAGTTGAAATATTCATGAAGTTCAAATCGTGAATTCGTGAAGTTGAAATCGGGAATTCATGAAGTTGAAATGTCCCCACCGGTCTAACTTAATAACGAGTTTTTCTTCAAAAATATATTCTTACAGACTTCTGTGAGTAGGTGGCCTAGAAAATATGTAATTATTGCAAAGATTTACATTGACTTCAGGCAGTGAAAGGTAAAGGCAAATTGTATTGGAATTTTCGTGCACTTATTCCAATCGGACAGAATTCACTTTCAATAATTAAAAACATGTTAAAATGGCTGCCTTTAATAAAAAGTGATTACGTCGGATCAAACTTGTTGAACAATTTTATTTTTCATTTTGTTTTTGGTAAGTAGGGCGTGGTGATGGGCGTCAGTGAATCTCATATTAATGGTTTATTTTGACTGGAAGACAGATAGATATTCAGTTGCTCTATTCCTAAAAATGTCATTCAATATACTAGATTCATGTTTCGATTAACTTGATTTACTCCCGATTTATTCAATCAAGTTCACTTCTATGGTGTTCTAGTTTAGGCTATACAAATGTCGCCTGTTAAGTTGCAACATCGATAAAATATCATGTTTTATCTCGACTATTCGATGAATAAGGAGAGCTACTTTTCCCCCCAGGTGCAAAGTGTCGTCGTCACACTTTGGTTAAGTATTTCCATCTCCAAAACTACTGAATGGAATGGTTTGAAACTTCACACACTTATTTGAGAGCATAAATCTATCGGTCAATATTTAAGGCCCATAACTCTTATGTGGATTTTAACGGAATTAAACTTAGAAAATTCTACTTAATACATGCTCTTGTTTTACTATCAAGGATTAAGAAAAGTCGAGCACGATCCTACCGACAGCTCTTGTTAATAGATTAGAAGATTAAACATTCTCTTAGCAATATTGACAAATATGGGTGTCGATAATTCTTATATAAAAACATACTTTTTATCGCTAAATATTTAACCACCTTAACAATTACTTATTATTTTTTATGCGTTCAGCGTAATAGCGTAATGGTTGAGTGTTGACTTCGTCAGTGTAGAGACCCTGGTTCGATTCCTGCAAAAGGCATTCTTTCTTATATTTTTTTGTTTGTTTTAAAGTACTTTTAAACGAACTGGATTTTCGTTCCTCGTGAATTTATTTCGCACAGTACTATTTGACATTTCATTTTACAACATTCGCTTTGAACAGGTTAAGTTAGAGGCAACACAGTCGTGATTAGAGTAATAAAATGATGAATGGATAAAATGTAAATATATAAATATACAAATGAGCCGAAATTGTTAAAACATGTAGCAAATATAAGTCGGATTTTAAATCGAATTGAATTGACAATACTATTCAATCTGTTGAGTTACTGTCAAATACATTCAATTTTGCTTAACCGTTATAAGCTTAATTTTAAATTGTACAAAATATTAAAAAAGCACAATTTATAAAATAGAATATGAAAATGATTTCTGAAATATACGTAAAAACCATACAAACACAAAACAATATTGCACATTTGCAGATTTAAACTCGAAAAATACAACATTTTCTTAACATGAACTCTTCATAATCTAACTTTCTACCAACTTCGCTATTCGGATTAACGTGCCCCTACCCTCTTCTATTCTTCTATATTGCAATAAATAACTGAATAACTTGCACAACCCATTATATCATATTGGTACGACCGATAAATGCAAACGTTATCGTGTTCGACTTACAATTACAAAAAGGACAACGTTAATTTTATCTGCATTAAATCTACCTGTATCTACTGGGAGATAACATTATCTAAACACCTATGAAGACGATATTTTGAATAGCTCTGTCGGGGTATAGTCGTATAATTACTACATAATTAAATAAAAGAAAGCAAATAGTCTTTGATATCATGAGAGTGACATTTAATTTTTTTTGCACACAAAAAAACGACTGAATCGACTGAAAAGGTATAACAGGTCATAAAAATTTGAATATAACATTAAATTTGCACATAGATCGTAAATGTATGGTGGCGGATTTGGTACACTTTGCGCGTTGCGATATCGATAGCGACATTTATTGATCGTGAACTTGGTAAAGTCGTTGGGATTGCATGCTAGCGTCACGAGTTCGAGTTTTACAAAATGTCTTTATTTTTATTTCATGAAATACTTACCTGACATTACACTTAGGATTTCCATTTCGTCATACCTTTTGAACTCGCCTAACCGGAAGTGTGCATTTGTTTACATCCATAATGCATTGAAACAAATAACTTTCTGAAGTTTTAACCAACCAGAACACACTTCCGGTATTCCCACGTGAAATCAGTTTTCGTTTTTTTTGCGCCTACCGTTTAGATGTACTTTTGGAGCTCGTATACTAGTTTTATTTTTTATTTTACGGTGGTTATTGTTCTGTGTTGGATTATGGCTCAAGAACTTGGAGCGCGAAGAAGGAGAGATTACTGACAATTTTTCGTCAGGCCATGTGACCGATAATGGCGGGTCATCAATGTTTCGGGCTAAATTGCCGCATAAGAAACAGTCGGATTACGGTAAAGAAAAACAGAAACGTAGATTCAAATATGACATTTTAGAGGAAAAATTTAATCAGAAATTGGAATCTATTGATGACAAGTTTGATAAATTATTCAGTATGTTTCAATCTTCGAATATTCGGGACACTTCGCCATGTATCGATGTGCAAGAAGATGAAAGTCGTAACGTAAATTCTCAGCAAGATGTTTTATCTTTATGCGGGGATAATACTTTAGGTTCCGACACAGATTCGGATAGTGACAGAGATTTTCACAGAACACTTGTTCAGAATTCTGTTAGAAAAGTTTCGGATTCAGAAAATCTCAGTGAGCATACTAAATTGGGACTGTATGAAATTTTTGGTGAGGATGCCAAAGTTTTATCAGAGAAGGAAGATGTTGGTATTACCTCAGACTAGTCTCAAAAAGATGTCTTGTATAACAGTAACTGGTGTAGTTCTCCTTTATTTTTGACTTCATACAATGAAAATGTTCTTGATATGTTTCCTGTTAAAAGTGACACTGAACAATTTTTACAAGTGCCGCCAGTGGATCCTTTGATAGAAAGTTGTTTGATTAAACGACATGGTCCCAAAGCAGCATTTTCTAGCTCTAAGATAAGAGGTAAAGGTTTATACTCGCAACCTTATAGGACTATTGAAAGACTTGCATATAAAGGTTCGCATGCCGCCAGATTAGGTATTGTTATTCAGCTGTATTTACAAGAAAGCCTTGGTGATTTACTTTGTTAGTTTTGTTCAGTCTGACAGTTTTGATAAGGATACTGCAGAAAAGCAGATTAAGGATGTGTTTTCTATGTCCACTAAGGGTTTAGATCAGCTAGGTAGATCAGGTGCTTTTCATCATATTATAAGACGTCATGTTGCTATGTCTGATACAGCTTTGTATGAATTACCAGACTCACAAAAATTTCTCAGTTTACCTTTGACAAATGACGGTTTGTTTGGTACAGAACTTGAAAATTCATTAAAATCAAGGAAAGAACAGAAAAAACAGGTGGATGATTTGGTACCTGATGTTAAGAAGAGGGAGTTTCTTAAGAGGAAGCCTGCTTTTTCTACGACTGTTCAAGACACATCAAAGCGGCCTTGTTTTTCACAAAATAGATCTGTTTCCTCTGATAATTTTCGTATTCCCAAGGTTCCAAGAGCTAATCAACCTCAGGTTACAATAAGCAGGGTAGTGACAGAAAAGTCAACTTCAGGAGACCTAGTGCAACTGAGTCCTTTCCACCAAGGAACTTTGGCCGAGGACGTTGTAAAACAGATCGCAAATGACAACGTAAGCATTATAGCAAAGTGGCCGCAGATACCTGTTGGGGCAGACTAAAACACTTCCTGCCTGCTTGGGAAAA